GCTAAGCCTATCTCGATGTTGCTACTGCTTTGCTTGAGGTGGTTGTGACTGATGATCTATCACACACTACCGGTCGGTCTTGAACCAAAGTAGTCACAACCCTGAACATATGGATGCCCCTCAACTCAGTCTTGGCATTAGATTTATGCTGAAAAGAGGCAGACCTACAGCACAAGTTAGCATAATTAAAAATAAATTCTGAAACAACCTAGAAATGAAAAAATTAACAGATTAAAAAAAGAGCGTACCTTTCATAGGATATATGTACAATTGCAAGGAAATGTTACTTAACTTTCCGCCTCCGTTTCATGCATCAGCTTCAAAATCTTTTTTTTATTCTCTTCGACAAATTTATTATCTGCCTTAAAATTATTTTCACATTTACCCTCTAGCCTTGCATCACGTGACCCTCTTTGCACAATCTCAAGCAAAATTTCTATGGATTCTAATCCAACTAATATTTTGCCATCATCCGAAATCACTGGCAAAGATTTCACATCATTCAAAATCACAGTAGATTTAGGACATTTGATAATACCAAGGAGTTCCTTAAACCTTAATAGGATCGGAAACATCATCACAGACTTCCCACTTTTTGGGATTCCATCCATATCCAAGGTCAAACATTATCCACATGCGACTCAGTTTAACCCAATCATTTATAGAGCCCACGTTGAAGGTCATTAAGTTTATAAGACTTTTCCACATTTTGTAATACCTTATACATTACTTTCAGAATCTCATTAAACCTAATACTCTCAGAAATCACAACACAGAGTAGTTTGTAATACTTTTCTGTATCCTCCATCTCAGTTTTAGCTCCATTGAATATTCTAATGATACATTCATGAACCAAACTAGCACTAAACTCAACAGGAAGTGGGTCATAGTTACTTTCAAAATAAAGCATTTTTGCACTCGTAAATCGAAAACCAAATTCCTCAAAATCCTTTACTTTCCACCAATTTCCCCCAACCCCTACAGCCAACATATAAATTGAAGGTTTGTGTACCAAAATATCAACTAAAAAGTTCTCCCTAAACATAGGGTCACTATGAGAAAACACCCTTCTTTATAATCAATTGATTCTCCACATTTCAATTGGGGCATATCTTTCTTACATTACACTTATGACCCATATAACCGATACAAAACCTAGAAGACATAATCATCTCAATCAATTCCCAAGGAGCATTAGAATGCTCAAGATCTAAAAAGAACTTATCTTTATCGGAAACTTGATTTGGATGAAAATCCTCTTTCTCTACAACTTTTCCTTGAACACTTTTACTCGTTTCTCCTCCATCTTTTTTTCCGCCCCATTTGTTCAAATTCACTCTGTTACACAAAACGGGAAAAATGATAAAAGAGAAAATAAAATTAGGTCTAGCAAGTATCTTGACTCTCAAATAGACTGCCTGCCAAAAAGAAACCATGTTGTGACAGTGACAAGCAAAATTAAAATACAATCCGAAGACATGTTCCTTTAGTAATTTATTTTCTTACATATAAATCCTAACATCATAAATGGTACTATTGGAATTAAAATCGTGTATTCTTATTCAACAGTTTTTTAGTTTAGTTCGTGCACAGTTTAAAGGCTAGAGAAAACTCGACAAAATAAGCAACAGTCAGTTTAAGTAGATAAAACAAATCAAAATTAGGTTCAAAAGCTTCATGGAGTGAATTACTAGAACTCAAGTTCAAGATATTTTCCCTGATAACAGAAGGTGCTGGCATTAACTTGAGGCACAACACAAACTGAAATACATTCCAAAACAATGTAAAATTCACCAATGCAGAAATATCACACAAGCAATCATAAGAACTATAACTCACAATTAATAAAGAAGTTTAGTGTCACCACATTATTAATGTAGTGCAAGTAATTCGACAGGCCAAAGCCAAATCTTCTTTAGTACATAAATATACATAGAGATGGGGTAGCAGGCAAATTAGCATTTTTAGTGATATCCTATTCTCTGTCATTACTTCTGTCCTGATATATTTGGTACTACCACAACATCCGCAATTACAAAATAACATTAGTGATTGATTTTAAGCTGGTGAAATGTTTAGGTGTAGTGGAGTTAAAGGGGGACATGATCATTCCAGACCCCCTACTGGGACTTAGGTTAGGTAAATCAGGTCAATAAAACTAAACACAAGGAGCACCTACATGGATTTAAATTTCATTAGCTTCTGACCAAGTATGTATCCATGACAAAACAGAATTAACTTAGAAACTATATATCCTAGTTGCATTGCATTGTAAATAACTTCTATCTTCTTCCATGACATTTGCCAGAAATGAGAAACACTAACGAGTTTCCTTCCTTCCTCGGTTTATTAGATATTTAAATTATATATATCTTGCGAAAACTAAAAGGCATGTTCACATGAACTTGATATGAACCATGGTGAAAAAAAACCCAAATTAAAAATGAGGCCATTACATTGACAAAAAAACTCAGCAAAAACGAAAAAACAGAAGAAAGAATGAAAAACAAACCTGAATTAGGCCCAATTTACAAATATTTTAGGATTAGGAGATTTATGGAGCTTAAAGTCGTATATTGGGCTTGAATTTGTGAATTATACAACACAAAAAACAGAGAAAAAAACAATATACCTAAGAAAAACTAACCTCAACATCTACCATAGCCCATAGGTCCATAGCCATGGAGGTGAGAGTGAGTTGTGGGCAGTGGAAGGGAAATTAGTGTTGGTGTGGCTGGGTAGTTCTGTAGTTGTTTAAGGTTTTGGGGTATGTGGGAACAAAGTTGTCTTTTCAACTTATTTACTTCAAATTTGTTTATTGAAATATACTTACTTCAATCTATTAGACCACTGAGCTGCCTGGTTTTATTCAACAAGAGGGGACATGGAATTGTTTTATCAGTTCCTGTGCATACCAGTTGCCAGTGAGAATGCTCTTACTTGTTATGACAGAGAAGGCTATAACAATATATTGGAAAATGCTAAGCCTCATGATCATAGAAATTTACATAGGCTAACAAAATTCTTTCAAATTGATCATATGCTCTGAATTCACTGACAATGTTCATATAAAATCAGATATATTAACAAATTTAAACATCAAAATCACCAAAATGATCATGCTTAATCCACATCACAATACATCATGCTTCACAATGTCACAAAATACAAACCTAATCGAATGGCAAAATTATCGAATACTCTGCCTCAGGAACATGATTTGAAGGACTGAAATGTGTACTTACAGAGATTAGTGAGTCCATTAAAAATTTTATAATTACATCAACCTATATAACCTAAACCCTTCGCAACATCTACATTTCACATAAATGACATACATAATAAACCTAGATGATGACAGAGATTTCTCTCAAAAACAGTCACAGGAACATCGAATACTCTGCCTCAGGAACATGATTTAAAGGACTGAAATGTGTACTTACAGAGATTAGTGAGTCCATTAAAAATTTTATAATTATATCAACCTATATAACCTAAACCCTTTCACAACATCTACATTCCACATAAATGACATACATAATAAACCTAGATGATGAAGAGATTTCTCTCAAAAACAGTCACACTAATCAATTATACAGAAATAATTCCTCTTAATCAATCTTATTAAAATTATCACAATTTGAGCCAAAAATGCGCAACAAAAAAGCAAATGCTGACAATCAAACTTTAACAAAACGAAAACATGAATCAAAATTGAAGAACAGATTAAGAGAGAGAAACTGATGATACCTGAAAAGCTGAGAACTCTGAGTGCGCAGCAATGGAGGAGAGAGAAAGGTTTCTGGAAATTGTTACTGGGGTTAAGTCAGAGAAGGGGTGAGTGGGGCTGACCATTAAACCATTATTATTGGGTTTTTATTTTGATTCTTAAATTCTTGGGCTCTAATTAAAACCCTATAAAAGTCCTATAAAATAAGATCCTTTAGTATTAGGCCCTACCCAATAACCTGGCCTACTCTCAACAACTAAATTAACATTAGAAGCAAACTTAAGTAAGAAAAAACTACACAAAACCCTATAAAATAAGACAAAGCCCTGTCCACTAACATTGAAATGGTACCAGATAGTAAAGGCAAAGGGTTATGCATTCAAATGTTTCAGACAGGTTGCATCTTTTTTTTTTTTTTTTTTTTTTTTTTTTTTTTTTTTTTTTTTTTGTTGTTGTTGTGGTGATGCAACAACACTACGACAGGTTGCGTCTACATGCTGACACTGCTAGATCGAAATGAGACTAGTAGGCATGTCATGATATTAATAATACAGAGTACTGAAGCTCATATTCAAACCAATAATTAAATAAGTCCACAACAAGAAGACCTTAATTGGAATATTACCTGAAGCCCTGACCACCCTTTTTTTCTTGTCATTTGCTCTACCATCAGCCTCCAATATCCGCACCCACAACGTTTGCCGTTTTTTCTCACCATCGAAAAATGTCTTGGAAGCATAATATTTACTTCCATAATCATATCTCCAATCAGTAATACCTTCCATGAAGTCAGTATTGTCCACCTCAAATTCATTTGTTACGCCTTATAAAAGCCCACGATCAAGAAAACTTGCCTTAAGAACAAATTTGGTGTTTTCCTTCATAAAATAGTTCTCTGCTCCATCTTTATTATCAATGCTCACAAGAAAGAAATCTGGACACTCCCACTTTCCGGTTTTTGCTGATAAGTGAAGAGACTTCACTTCTAGTCCAATTAGCAAAATCTTTACTCTGGCACAAAAATGCCATTTCTCAGCCATCTACCTTTCCGCCTATAAGAACGTGCCAAGCACCATCAGCAGCTTGCCAAGCAGTTGTAGGATCTCTGAAATTGCTAGAATCAATGTCACCATCTGTTTCAGCAATTACAGGATTATGAGGCGACTTAACCTTTTAGGTTAGATGGGGATCAGGGGGTCCTTAGGGAATGCCAAATTCTGTGACTGAAAATTCTAAGTGTCTGCACCAGTATAGAAAATGACAGGTTTTCCTCCAGGGAGCATGGTGACAGACCTGGAGTAGCAGCAACCCAATTCATAAGGCTCGGTTGGGTTAAGGGCGTGTTCAATGTGAATCTAGTTGACAAGATCATGTGAGATTGAATGAACCCAAGTCATATTCCCCCATATAGCTGAGTAAGGATTATACTGATAGAACAGATGATAAACACACTTGTAGTATAATGGTCCTATACTTAAATACAGAGAACATCTCAATCAGTTTCATAACTTTATGATGCATAAACAACCAAAAGAGGATATGACATACCATTAGGATTTATGAGTTCATTAGCCCCGATACTTCAAACTCCTTTTTACTTAATTTCCCAACCAGGTCTTCAATTTGAACATTTCTAGATTCAGCGATCCCAGATATTTGACCGGCTTCTTCTGTATAAACCTTTTACTTGGCCTTCAAGGAAGCAAGTTTCTCCTTCAATTCTGTAACTTCAATCTGTCTGAGATAATTTTTTCAACCATCTCTCTAATTTCAACTTCATTTGATTCAGCAATTCCCTCTGCTTCATGAGCCTTCTCTTCATACTTTTTCACTTGGCCTTCAAGAGCTACAAGTATTTCACTGAATTTCAGCCTCTTTATCAGCTAATTTAGCAACAGTCTCCTTTAACTGTTCTATCTCCGCCTCTCTAGACCCGGTTATCACAGATGCTTCACGAACCTCCTCCTCATATGCTTTCACTTGGTTTTCAAGGGCACTCAACCGTGCACCCAACTCCTCGACTTCCTTCTCTTTCTCAGCTAGTCTACCACTTGTTTCCTTCAACTGTTCTTCAGCCTGCAAATGACGAGCTTCAGCAGCAGAGTGCTGCTCAAAAGATCTCAAGTGTTGCTCAGTTAATTCAGTGATGGTATTCATGTGAGAGGCAAGTTGAAGAGAAGTGGCTTCTTTTTCTGCATCAGCCGAATTAAGCAATTCCAGAAGCTCATCAACCTTGTTCTTCGTCTGGGAGTTTTTTTCCACCAAAAGTTCCTTCTCTGAAAGAGATTGTGCCACTTTACCCTCAGCTTCCTCAATCATCTTTTTAAGCTCTTCATTAGAGCTTTCTAAGGAATCTACCTTAGCAACACTCTGATGCAATTCTTCTGTTAGAGATGCAGCCTTCAGTGCTTCTTCACCGACCTGTTCTTCTAAACTTTGTACCTTATCTTCAAGAATCTTAAATTTCTCAGACAATGAGTTAGCCTCAGACTCCTTTTCGCTGAAATTTGCCATTGTCTCCTGCATTTTTACCTCAAAGTCCCTAGTAGAAGACTCGTGTAAAGATTCAAAATGCATTTTACTTGCAGTTGCTTCCTCTATTGCTCTCACTTGCTCCTCTAATTGATCCTCAGCAGCTTTCAGCTTTTCCATAATTACACACACCCTTAGTCCAGAGCCCTTTAGATCATTTTCAATGCTTTCTAGTTTCTCCTGTGTAAGAGACAATTCACCACACAATGATTCAAGCAAATTTTCAGCTTCCCGAAGCTTTTTAGTGGAATTCTCCAATGCTTCTTCTGAACTTCGTTTCTCTACTTTCATTACATTCAAAGATTCCATCAGCCCCACTTCCTTTTCACTTGCTGTTTGAAGTGCACTCTCAAGGTTCAACATTAAAGATCGGAACTTCTCGATTTTTCCAGTGAGTTCAGATACCATGCCTGAATATTTTTTTGATTCAGCTTCAGGATCCCCGCATTTTTACTCCAGTGAGCTTATATTCACTTCAAGCTCTTCAATTTTCTGCTTCTTTTCTTCCAGCAGCGATTCAAGGTCACCCATGTTTTTCTCAGCAACCTCAATTATGGAGTGAGAAGATTTTACTACATTTTCTAATTCTGCTGCACGAGAAGGTAATTCTTGCTCCAACTCCTCTATTTTCTTCTTTGAGATTTTGGACTCAAGATTAAGACTTTCAAATGATTCTTTAACACCAGAAAAATCCTTTTGATTAGTTTCATGATCTTCCAAAGTATCTTGCAAAGACTTCGGCTTTTCATTGAAGTTATTTTCAGTCTCTACCATCTCCTCCTGCAACTTCTTGTGATTCGGTTCAAGAGTTTCATACTTCTTCCCACATTCTTGCAGCTTTACTTCAGTCGATAAGGCCTCATTTTTCAAATTTGCATTCTGTGACTCAGAATCGTTTAATGCAGCAGCCACTCTTTCTAATTCAGTCTCAAGCTCGTTTATCTACTCCAGTGCTTCAAGGACTTTTCTGCTAGATTCACTAACAGATGATTTGCTTTCTTCAACATTTACTTCAACATCTCGAAACCTATCTTTCATTTCCACAGGTTCTCTCTCGACCTTAATGAACTCTCCATCATCCAGAGAGCTTTCTTTTTCTTCTTTATTACCATTTTCCTGTTGCCAAACAAATTCAAGTTTTAGCTATATAAAATAAAAAATTAAAAAAATGATATTGCAGATACTTATAAGCTATATTTAACACAAATCTACCTCAATTGGCTCCGTAACACTAGCAAGCTTATCCTTGACTTCCACCACTAGCACCTCTATAGTTTGTTGAGTTTCATCTTCCATTAATAATCACAATACTTGACCTCAAGTCATTATTTCTGTCTTTTAACATGAAGTCACAAACAAGCATAAATAACTGCAATCAAATGGTGAATCAAATGATGGCAAAAGTTGAGAACTTCAGAGAGATGGCATAACTGAAATCAAATGGTGAAGCAAATGTTTCATGTGAAGCTACTCTTTACATGCATCATCAGGGGAAGACAGAATATAAAAGAGTCAAGGCAGCAAAGAGAGATGAGATCAAGATACAAGATCAACAGTTAGAATGAGTTCAACACATAAGGCAGCTCTTAAGCAACCAAACTAAGGAATCCATTTCAAAGAAAAATTGAGTCAAGAAATGTCTGAAGCAGAACGCCAGTTACTTTAATCCTCATGGCTAAATAAAAAGTCATCAAAAATAACGAAAATTAATTAGAAAGCATCTCATACCATAAGTAATCCATACAGGTTTACCATCTCATTATTATTCCCCATCAAGTCAGTCTGGCACTGCTACATTCTTCCAGTGTTCCACTTCTGTCTCTATTTCCATTCCAGCCATAATGTTCAAAGACCTGAACATTTTTCTGTTCATCAGAAACTACAAGGCTGAGTGTACTTCCATCGATCAGGAACTCGCTTGAAAAACAATCAAATGACCCAAAATCCTTTGCTAGCAAGCTAAGTTGAGAACCTTGTTCCTTCTAGTTGAGAAAATATATGCTTTCATGAATATCCCTGAAGAGAATAAAAAAATTACCTGCAACAGTCAAGAAATATATAGAAGAATCATTCTTTATATAAACATCAGTTCTCTATTTCAGAAGGTATTGAAAAGCAATTAGAGATGAAAAAGAAAAATAAAATTATGATTCATAATACTCAAAAAACAAAGATACAGAGTCCTTCGAATCTAATATCTACTATCTAAATTTTGTGAAATATCAAATCACATCGAAAAAAATATGCACAAAAAAAACAAAGTAGACAAGAAAATTACCCCCGCCACATAAATAATCAAGAAATATATTGAAGAGACATTCTTTATATACACCTAAGTTCTCTATTTTAGAAGGTATTGAAAAATAATTAAAGATGTAAAAAAAATTATGATTCATAATACCAAAAAAAAAAAAAAAAAAAAAAAAACTGTAAAATATATAGAAAAAGATAAAAGTGTAGTTCGTATCTAAAATCTACTATCTAAATTTGTAAAATATCAAATCACATAGAAAAATATGCACAAGAAAATTACTCTTGCCAAAATCTAGCAATGAACCATGGAACTAACATTTCTACCACCAAAATTGATTTTATAACTTCATAATTGGAAAAAAAACCTGAACTTGCAAAGAACACCATAAACTCGAAATTCATCCTCAAGCTCGCATTTGGTAACTTACCACGCTTCCCCGTTGCTGCCCCTACTCCCAACCGAGCCACCGCGCAGCAGCCAATCAGCCGCCCAAACTCCTACTTCCCTCAAACACCCAAAATCGCAACAATCAGCTAGCTACACACAATTCTCCTCTTACTTGTTATGCTGCACTCCAACCATAACACTGACACGACAAGCACCACAATCTGAAGGGAATGGTGGCTTAACATATGTAGAGGTAAGCCTGCAAATAGAAAAGAAGCTAAAATAAAATAAGAAAAATTAAAAAAAAAAAAAAATGTACGAGTTAAGTACAAATACAATCTCTAAAGTTTAAACCATTGCATTTAATCTCTCACCTTTTAAATGAGGCAAATTGGTCCATTAACCACCAGGGAAAGCAATTTCCAGCCAATAACTGTTGATGTGGCAATAGGTTTAGGGACCTTTAAATATTATTTGTCATATAATTTACATATATTCTAGAAATAGTTTAAGGACTTGTCCGATTTAATTGAATAAGCTAAGATTGCGTGTGTGTGCGCAATTTAAGAAACTTATTAGGCTCATTCTCTTCTTTATTCTAATAGAATACAATAAATATTAGTGATGCAAATTTTAAAATTGTTGATAATAAAAATAAATATAAGTAAAAAAATTATAAAATAAAAATTGGTTTAAAAAATAAAAACATCTGATGAAGTCATAGAGTATTTTCTTTAATTGAATAATTAAAAAAAAACGGTTGATAAGTACTTGTATAATTGTATTTTATCCTAAAAGTTAGATTCGGATGGTACTTTTTTTTCAATTTAGGATGGTTGTTCTTAAAAAAAAAAAAAAAAAAAAAAAAAAAAAAAAAAAAAAAAAAAAGGTAAGTAGGAGTAATCTGGCAAATTGACATTTATCACCCAAAATCTCTCTTCACTTTATATATTAGATAAATAGAATAGTTTAGGGTAAGTTGGCAAATGTAATGATGTTGAAAATAGTTTAGGGATCGGGTTGACACGCAGCGCAATCAAATTGGGAATGGTGGCTTAACATATGTAGAGGTAAGCCTGCAAATAGAAAAGAAGATAAAATAAAGTAGTAACTTAGTAAGGCTCAAAGAAAATGGTAGTCAATGCATGGAAGTATTAGAAGTGTATGTGAATTGCTATCTACTCATCTGTAACTCATAAGCATAAACTATCAATCAGGTGCATTATCATATAGCTTAATATGAAACCATTTGGGAAGAAGAGAGAGATGACCCAATTTCAAAAACCAAATATTCAAGTCAAGTAAAATAGATATATTCATCAAACTTCATGAAAAGCTCTTAAACAGAGTTTATGTTCATAAATATACCCATTCAAAACCATTAAATCAATGAGCTCCAATGGAAACTGAGAACTGAGCCTCAAATGAGTCATAACTAATCCTAGGATCATTTTCGAATGTGTTAGTTTAAATTAAACAAGAAATCTTGGAAAATTTTCACAAAATGGTTGAGTCGGACACTTGGACACGTAACCGTGTCGGCCATGGGTACCCGAGTCCGAGAATCATAGGCAATATGTGAACATTATCTTCAACAAATAACCAATTATTCACAGCAATATATAAACAATTTACCAACACAGCAAAACAATTTACCAACACAATTTTCATCAAAATTTAAATTATAATTACATAGATAGAACTGAAAACAATCTATGAATCGCGACACTATTCACAGCAATAAACCAGCACTCCAGCAGCGCTCTTGATCAAAAGACAGGAACAAACATTGCTGGAAGAAGAATAAAATTACGAGCATATAATAAACCAACAAAAAAAAGGGGGGGGGGGGGGGGAGATTACCAGTAGGTCGATTTCTTCCTGCACATGTATTTGCTCAATCTCCCTACTCATTCAAACAAATTAATAAGGTTGAAAGTATATTGTAGTCAAGAAAGCAGTAACAAAACAAAGTTCTGATTGATCCATATGCTTTTCAAAAGCCATACGATGAAATTTTTAGCATTGAGAACTGAGAAGTATACACCAGGAAGGACATAATTGTACCTAATTTGATACCACTCTATTTGCTGGTGGCTTGATAAAGCCATTTTCAGGTGAATTGACAAGATCTTGAACTCATTTCAGAAACTTGAGTCATGACAGATTTACCACCATTCTCAACATGCCAAAAAATCATAATGATGAAATTTATGCAGCAAAACAGGGACAAATGGCTTACATGTTATAATGTAAGAATTAAGCACCACCAAAAGAATTTTCAGTTAAGCCAAGGATGACAGAAGATGAGCAGAAGAGCAGAGCAAAGAATGAGCACAATTGAAAACAACTACTCATAATTAAACAATGTTTATCTACTCATTCTTTCTAAATTTTATCCAAATTCTAGTTGAGAAGGAAATTAAAAGTTCACTTCTACAGAAAAAACTCCAGAAATATATCATCAAAGAAAAAAAATATATTCCAGAACAAACTACAAAATTTTCTTCTACAGATCAGTTACGATTAATCAAAGTTCATTTAGAATCATTAGATAGAAGAACGTAGAGAACAAATATATTGTAAGAGTAAAATTAACTTTCAGTGATTAGGCATCCAGGACCATAGATACCAGTTGGGTGGAACAAAAGGCAAGGCAAGGCAGAGAATCTCCGATCACCAACATGCAGAGAATCTCCGATCATCCAACATGCAGAGAATCTCCGATCATCCAGCATGCATACCGGCGATGGTTGTTGGTTGATCACCGTCAAAGGAGAGAGAAAGAGAGAACAAAATCGCCGGCGGAGGTCTATGGGAGGGCCTTGAAACTCCGTCATCGCCGGCGCTTTCGTCGGTGAGCCGGGGTTTGTGTTTGGTGGGTATTTACAAGGAGAGAGAGAAGGCAGAGCTTTGAGAGATTCCTCATACACATCTGTTACAGCAAATGCCATCCCAACAAAAATCTTTTCACTTCTAGATCTGAAATTTGGAACTCAACTCAAAGTCAAAAGAAAAAAAAAACCCTAAGTACACTTTATCTGTCCGTTTATAGCAAAATCTAGGGTTCTGCAACTTTTGTTTTTTCACTTATTTTTCTTTTTATATTTTATTACTACTATGCTGTACTACACTACTACGTATATTATTATCTGTCCAATCTCCATTGGACTGTATTTTATACCATACTACATATATTATATTACTTCCGCCCATGAATATCTGCAACAAAGTACAAATGGGTGGACTTCTAGGTAAAACTTTTAGGGAATATTAAGTGTAGTTGGGTGGGTTTAATTAATGAGAGAGAAAAGTAAAAATACAAAATTACCCATATAATGATATATATAAACTAAATATTTAAGTGTTGAAAAATAAGGGTATATTTGGTATTTGTAGTGTGAACACAAATATTTGTAGTGGGTTTTAGGTAGTGGGTAATAGGTGGTGGAGAGGACCACTAACCAAAAAGTGAGTAATAGTGGGTAATTAATAGTTAAATATTACCAAAAAAAGGAAAGAAAAAAATTTGTTGCAGATACTCCAAGCATCCAAATTTGGCAAATGTTGCAGATATTCGTGGGCGGAGGTAGTACAATACTTTGTATATCTATATGACATATGAAGTATGTATGAGTACCTAACACGCTAACCCATGCCGGGCGGACTCGTGAGAGGTTTCAGCCCAATAGGGGTCTTCTCCTTACCAACCAAAATAAGAAAATTAAAAAAAAGAAACGTACGAGTTAAGTACAAATACAATCTCTAATGTCTAAACCATTGCATTTGTAGCATTTTAATCCCTCACCTTTTAAATGAGGCAAATTGGTCCATTAACCCACCAGGGAAAGCAATTTCCAGCCAATAACCGTTGATGTGGCAATGGGTTTAGGGACCTTTAAATAATATATATTCTAGAAATAGTTTAAGGACTTGTCCGATTTAATTGAATAAGCTAAGATTGCGTGTGTGTGCGCAATTTGAGAAACTTATTAGGCTCATTCTCTTCTTTATTCTAATAGAATACAATAAATATTAGTGATGCAAATTTTAAAATTGTTGATAATAAAAATAAATATTAGTAAAAAAATTATAAAATAAAAATTGTTTTAAAAAATAAAAACATCTGATGAAGTCATAGAGTATTTTCTTTAATTGAATAATTAAAAAAAAATGGTTGATAAGTACTTGTATAATTGTATTTTATCCTAAAAGTTAGATTCGGATGGTACTTTTTTTTCAATTTAGGATGGTTGTTCTTAAAAAAAAAAAAAAAAAAAAAAAAAAAAAAAAAAAAAAAAAGGTAAGTAATCTGGCAAATTGACATTTATCACCCAAAATCTCACTTCACTTTATATATTAGATAAATAGAATAGTTTAGGGTAAGTTGGCAAATATAATGATGTTGAAAATAGTTTAGGGATCGGGTTGACACACGGCGCAATCAAATTGAATCAATAGCTACATTAATAAAAATTGTCATTTTACATTGCATTTCCCCAAGTTGATTGTTTATTTGGTGTAGAGGTGATCAAAAATCGGGTCGGACCGAGCCTTAACGTAATTTCTCGTGCCCAAACCCACAAAAAAGTAGCGGGCTTATCAGTCCAAAGCGAGCTTTTTGGGCTTTTTTCGGACTAGATTCGGGTTTTTAACTAAAAATGTATTTTTGATTTTTTCATACTTGTCCAAAGCCGCCCTATTTTCGGGCCGGATCCGACCGGGCTAGCGAGCCGGATCAATGTTGATCACCTCTAATTTGGCGGGATAAAAATCATCAGAAGCTTCTTTATATACTCATACTCCAAAAGACTCCCACAAGTTACTTTACATCTCAACTCAAACTTAAACTCAAAAACACGAGCTCCATTGTTATGTCTGGGTGGGAATTTGGAGAAGCATATAAGTCAAAGAAGAGGAAAATCACGCGATTACATTAACATCATTTCAAGGTATATTCACACTCATTTTCTATTTTTTAATTTTTAATACTTTATTTTTATTCTATTGTCTTTCCTAATTTTCAAGACTAGACAATATTGCATTTTTTTCATTGCATAAATTTTTTTTAAGTCAACCAATCAATCAATAATCAATATAGTTAAATTTCTCTATTTTTGTCATGTATATAAATCACGTACAGATTTTTTTTAGGAAAAATTCATGGGAATAATCCCACCTTTGGGCCGTTCGTTTTTAATAATCCTACCTTTGGATTATTTTTAAATAATCCCACCTTTACCCCCCATTCTTTTTTAATGGTCCCAACCGGTCATGTAACCTGTTATAACAGGTTACATGACACGTGACGGCCTGTGAATGGGAAAAAAAAATTAAAAAGTTAGATTTTTTAAAAGAAAAAAATAAAAAAATAAAAATAAAAATAAAATAACCACCCAGCCCCCAACCACAGCACCGACACCGGCGTCGGTGCGCGACGATCCCCTCCCTGATCTGAGGAGATTTCAACTAAGGTGGGGGTATGGGTGAAGGTGGCTGAGGTCGCAGTTCAGGTAGGGTGATGAGATGGTGGTTTCGGTTCAATTGGTAAAGGCAATAGTAGTTTGGTAGGTGGTCTCGGGTTGGGGTATGGGTGAAGGTGGCTAAGGTGGTGGACTAGTGGTGAACTAGAAACCCAACCCTAACCCTAAACGCCTTTTCCGTCCCGATTCCGGGTCCCCCTTCCCCCGTTCCAATTCCGGCAACTCTCCCCTTCCCCCGACCCTATTCTAGCCTCCCTCCCCTTTCCCCTGCTCGAGTTTTGCCACCCACACATTCCCCCGCCACGATTTCAGCCTCCCTCACTTTCCCCTACCTCAATTTAGGCTGGCCGGACCACCTAAAATAGCGACGATGACGACGTGAGCTTCGATCTCATGGTTGGGGCTGGTGAAGGAGGTGGCTGGGGCTAGTGGACGACAACAACGCGATGGCTGGGACTTGTGGAGGAGGTGGCTGGCTTACTGCCGTTTTTTTTTTTTTTTTTTTTTATTTTTGTTTTTTAATATAAAATTTTAGACTAATTGTTATAGTGACACGTGTATTTTAAACCAAAAAAAAAAAATTACCTCTTCAACCGGTTACTAGTCACCCGTGACCATTAAAAAAGAATGGGGGGTAAAGGTGGGATTATTTAAAAATAATCCAAAGGTGGGATTATTAAAAACGAACAGCCCAAATGTGGGATTATTCCCATGTATTTTTCCTTTTTTTATTGCCTGAGCTGAATTGTTTTTAAGTTTTTCTAAAATAAAATTAAGTGAATGAGGGTGTTTTGGATAGTCTATAATTTGAACACCAACTTTTACTCGGGATATTTTGACTTTTGCTACCACTAAAATGCACAATTTTGAATTTTACTACCCATCTAAATTTTTATTTGATTTTATTACCACCCAAAATCAAAAAATTTAAATTTTACTACGGAAGATGCTCCAAAGTAAGTTTAATTACGAAACTAATTACGAAAGTAGACGTGTGGCAAAAGTATTTACCAAACTAAGCTTTTTGGGTAAAACGATGTCTCGGACAGCGTTTTATATATTGGTTTTTTTTTATAAATAATACATAATTTCAAAATTCCTTTTAGAAATTAAAACTTTCCAAATTTCCAAAAAAAAAAAAAAAATAGTACATAAAACGCTGTCCCAGGCAGCGTTTTATGTACTAAATGAAATTTGGGAAAAAAAATTATAAGTATGTAAAACACTGACCCATAAGCGTGCGGTATGCAACTTTATAGGAAAACGAAAGTTGTAAATGATCATAGAATAAAAATATACGAATGCCCTCAATTAGTGTGAGTACTCGTTTTCACACGGAAAATCGAGATCTACGAGAATACGCGGTCCACGTC